TGGGAGCATTCATACTGCACGTAATGTTGAGTGTGCTTCTGGCTGCTCCTCGACCAGACCGGCTCGGCCTCCCCCGCATGCAGGGAAACGAGAGAGACGGACACGGAACAGCTCATAAACATGCAGGTCACAAGGTGGGAAGAACCAGGAACATCCTGCGACAGATGGAGTCAACTGTCCTTCAGCAATCTGAGCAGATCCTCTATGATGATGTCATTTCTGGAGACGAGAGACAAAATGCTTTCATGGTGAAGCGTTTCCAAGTTAAATGGCAAGGTCATTGTTTTCTAGTTGTAATGAGAAAACCGAGAGGTGCTTGTTCTCACTCAACAGGGCTCAGGAGTGCAATGACTCCACAACGATGACACAATCTCTACCCTGAATAACCTGAGCCGTGTGTGTGCAGGGAAGGCCGTGCATGCATCCGCACAGCTTCTCAGTTTGCTCACTGAGGGACATACAAGCTCATTCATTCTTAAGCGGACACACAGCCAACGCATTGTACGGACCCTGTAGTCCGTGCAGAGAGGCAGCGATGTACGACAGACAATATCAAATCGAAATCTATTTCTCATATTACGAACAATTCGGACAACGCTGGATGGTTGTTGAAGATAAAAGAGAATAGAAGTGTTTTAGAAATTGGGATAAATACATTATGCCTATTTGTCTTGAGACAAAGCGCAGTAAATATTTGAGTCTAAACATTGTCTCTTACTTTTGTAATGGAACTATATTTAGTGGCAGGTTTTTACCATTAATAATTGAGCTAATAATAAATGTTGGGACCTGGAGGTGCAATGAAATGCATAACAAACTGTGCACCGATTTTGAGGACAGTTTGTCCTCAAAATCTCAAAGACGGGACAGCCCGTCTTTCAGTCGGGGTCATCTGGAAGCCATTTCTACTTGTGCTCTCTCCCTCGTCTCATTTTAATTTCTCAGTGCACACACACACACACACACACACACACCCTTGCCGCCCCTCCTCCCTTGGGAAACCAGAGTTCAGCCACCAAGCTGCGCGCACGCCACCCCGGCATGGCACGCAAGCTCATCCCCGCTCCGCTCCCCCAGCACGCAAAAAAACCTCGCGGGATCAGAGACAAATATTCCCGTACTGTACATAATGCATGTCCCCTGTCCTGGGTGCCACGTTAAGTGAAGATCCATCACGCAGCCTGCACACAGCGGAGACGCAATGTGTCCAGTGCAGAAAGTAGGAAAAAGTAAATATCAGAAAGTTTGTTTCTGAAGCTCCCTGCAAATTAACCTTCATGAACTTTCTAATACTGCGACTGTTATTGTGACGTCATCGTTAGTTTACAATCCTTGTTGGTTTTTGCATTGCAAGTGCATGCATGCATGCATGCATCACTGCCGGCCTCCATGAAAGAACATTTCATACTCAAATCTGCTGGAAGAAGTGTAAAAATGTGTATGGGTGGTCGCTGGATTATATAAAACCCGCACCCTTAAATGTGTCGCTGCTTTATTCGACTAAACCGCTTGAAAGTGCAAGATGTGTCAGAAAATATTGAGCTATGGTTAAAGTTCATACTTTTGGGAAGGGTTGAGCCTTCCATGTCTTCATGGTTTGACCAAGGAATTTTGCTTAATCCTTGGAAAACATTCTCCAAAAGTAGTGCTTTCCGCTCTCATGTGGGCTGTTGGAAGCGACATCTCTGGGCACAGCAGGTCTAACGGACGTTTACTCCGATTCCTTGGAGTGGAATCTTTTCCCCGAAATCTAAATGAATGCAGGACATTGGAGACGCTGCGATGGCGTAATTCTGGGCCTCTTTTCATCCGAGTGACGACATTGAGGTTTTGACAAGTACAAAAACAAGGCGCTGAAGTCGCAATAATTCAATCTTCTCTTGTGTACCTCGAACATACGAGACAACAACGGCGTTGGGAGACATAATCCACCGCGGGTGAAACGATGACCACCAACAGGGAAGAGTTTTAATGGTTAAAATACTGCTTATTTATAATGCTGTAACCGTCCATTTGCCCCCCCCCCCCGAAGTGAAATGTGCCTTTTTGCACCAAAACAACAATCAAGTTAGTGACTTTATTTCCAAGTATCTCTCGTTCCTCGTACTGTGTAGTCTGGCAAGCAAAAGCATCTTCATTGCAAACATCGCGATCTCCAACCAGCATGTCCGGTGGTTACCTCCTGGCCGCCTGCGATGGCTCCGGCCCAGAGGATGTTTTTTGTGGGCCTGTTTACTGGTTTCGTCGGTGTTTTTTGGCTGCAGCTTTTTCAGTCTTGGCTCACCTTTGTTCACTACATGAAAAAAACAAATGTTTTCTAGAAATCCTACGTTTCCCAAGTCCCACCAGCTCCCCAACTGCCTTTTGGACCCCCGTCCAGCCCCCCTCTACTCACCCCCCAGCTGCCCTCCCTCTTCCTTCCTCCCCGTTGGTGCTGTGCGTGACAGTAGCTCACTGAGAAGTGGAAATGAGACTAGTAAACAATGATTAGCTCCAGAGCCGGGGCAGCCTGGTCTACCATTGGGGCCCCCGTCTCCAAACAGCGAGCGCCCACCCGCCAGCACATGACATGCAACGGCCTACGGACCCCGTCCCCGCCTCCGCCCCGCCCACCCCCCTCAGCCAGAGTCAACGCGGGGTCAGGGCAAACCTTTCACAGCCAGGTTACGAGGGGTAATCACCGGCAAACACGGCAGCCACACGCAAAACGCACACACGACACCCTCCACCCCCTCCCGCTTCCAAGCCGGGGCCTCCAGGCCTCCCACGCACGTACATACAAACGCACCCCCCCCCCCCCCCCCCACCGCAAACCTGGGTTTAATTAACGTGATGGGGAGGAAGTGGGCCCCTGTGGGTTAGGAGGCGACTCCCCATAAGAAGAAGTGGTGGTGGTGGTGTTGGGGGGGGGGGGGGGGTTCACCCAATACGAATAAAGGAGGGAAGAAAGAGTCTTCCCCGGTGCAGGCGGTGTATTTGAAGACATTGCCATGTCTCTGGTTAACCGGCGGAGTCATTCGGTGCTCAACCTCAGCGACATCTGCAGAGGCTGTTTAAGGAACTTTGTTGTGAAATAATGACACACAACACGTAATGTAGTAACACTTAAGTTACTGTTAATGTGGCATTTCTGTTGGTTTTTACAATTTGAGCATGCTGCGCCTATAGGATATGTTATTTTTCTTCGGTTTTACATAACGTTTGTTTGTGAGTGGGGCTGAATTGTTCAAATGTAACTTAACGCATTGTTTGATATGTTAAACCATGAGAAATTATGACTTTGAAGATCCAGACAGCACAGAGTTAACATTGAGATATTTGTGCTGCAGACTTAATGAGACCACCTCCTTCCTGCTTCGTATTTATAATTTGTTTTCATAATGGCTTCATAATGGACCCATAATTCGGCCTGATTAATTGTTGTAAACAAATTTTGCATCATTCTCCAACTTTTCTGCTCCTCCTCCTCCTCCTTCCTGATAATGGCTGACGTGCACTTTCTGTCCCTGTGACGAAGCACATCCCTTCGGAAACGTTTTAGTCCCTTCAATTAAGGCCATTACCTGCCTGCAAACATAAAACTCCACATCTCTCTGTTTAAGAAACATAGTCTTTATCTAATGTGATGGTGCAATTGTAAAAACATGACAAGTGCTTCAGATCTCTTCATTTGTCTTTAGTTTAATGTGAATTTCCTTTTTTTAACTCTCCCATTTATAGGGAACACACTCCGAAGGAGTCGCACTGTGAAAGGGGGGATTTATTGTAATATGATGTGACTAACTTGGAGTTTCACGCATATCATGTTCTGGAAAAAACAACAACTAGACTTTGTAAAAATATCAAGTATTATTAAGTCGTGGTTTGTGCACGATGAGTTTTCCGCTATTACATTTCACTGAGACGATTCTGTCTGTCAGATGCGTGAAGAGAAAAGAATCAAATGAATGGAATATTTGATAATTGGGATTATATTGATCTTGATGTGGATATTCTGAAATCCTCTTTTAAATTTCCAATTTGTATTGTTTTTAGTATAGATTAGCTTGCTTTAATCTTTAATCTCTGTTGATTTCAAATATTGGAACTAAATGGCAGAATTTCGTTTTATTGCTTCGGATCTTGTGTGATCAGTCAACTTTAATTTTTTGGACAAAACAGAAAGAACATGCAGGGTTTTTGGGTTCGGAATCAGAGGTAAATACAAAGAATGTACAACATTGGCTCAGTAAACACATTTAAAGACACATTACCGCATATGTCACATTTGGATGAATTCCCAGAAATGCTTCAGAAATGTGTTTGAAGCAGATCCAAAAAACAGCCCCATTGAATCAAAACGATATGTAATGTCACGTTACTTAAAATATAATTACGCTTTTCACAGCTTTTGAACAGCCTGGATTCCGTCCGGAGTCGGACAGACCGAATGAAACCAGGGTTTGGTTTTGTTTTTTCCTCCGCAGCTAAAAAAATAAATCAGGCCACAAAGATACATTTTTAGAAGCAAACTCTTCCAGTCCTCCGCTTGGTAAAAACACATCGTTTCCACGCGTTTCCCACCGAATCGGTGTCACCAGTTGCCGGCTCCCGTTTTTTTCTCCGCAGCGGTCGTGCACGCGGCGCGTTCACGCTGCACCCTGCGCGCTCTCGAGAGCGCGCGCGCCTCCCAACGGCGAGCGGCCGTCCCGCGATGAGACGGTGGGGTCTGCAGGGCTTCCACGATGGGAGGAGTAGGGAAGTTACCCTGAGCCCTGCCCACCAAACAGCAAAACATATAAGACGCAGGAGTGAAGCAAAAGGCAGCCACTTAAGCCTTAAATCTTCATGACACGATTGACTCGGGACAAAAAGAAATTCACCTTTACTCTCTTCCTTCATCACTTACGACCTCCCTGGCTTTTGATTGAAATATCTATCCTTTTTTTTTCTTCTGATCTGATATGGATAATTTGATTCGTTTCTTCCAAACATACGACTGAACATCTTCTCTTCTCACAATGGCGTTGGACACGGAGTTCGGCGTGAAGGGCAGCAGCATCATCAGGGAATGGAGCGGACAGGTCCAGCCCGCTCTGGTGGCCTCCTTCGTTTTCCTCTTCTGCCTGGAAGCCTGCCTGTGGGTCAGAAACCTCCGGCTCAAGAGGAGACTGCCGGGACCCTTCGCCTGGCCGGTGGTGGGCAACGCCATGCAGCTGGGCCAGATGCCCCACATCACCTTCGCCACGCTCGCCAAGAAATACGGCAACGTGTACCAGATCCGGCTGGGCTGCAGCGACGTTGTGGTTCTGAACGGAGACCGGGCGATACGAGAGGCTCTCCTTCAGCACGGCACGGAGTTTGCGGGCAGACCGAACTTTGTCTCCTTCCAGATGGTCTCTGGAGGCAGAAGTATGTCATTTAGTAATTACAGCAAACAGTGGAAAGCACACAGGAAAATAGCCCAGTCCAGCCTGAGAGCCTTTACCTCTGGAAACAGTCAGACCAAAAAAGCCTTTGAGCAACAGATCACAGCCGAGGCCATGGAGCTGGTGCAGGTATTCCTGCGCCACAGCACCGATGGACGGTATTTTAACCCTTCTCAGGAGTTTACTGAGGCTGCTGCTAATATCATGTGCGCTCTCTGCTTTGGGAGGCGATACGCACACGAAGACCAGGAGTTCAGGAACATGTTGAAAAAGCTGGACAAGTTCGGGGAGACGGTCGGGGCGGGCAGCCTGGTCGACGTCATGCCCTGGCTGCAGCGCTTCCCCAACCCGGTTCGCAGTGGCTATGAAAACTTCAAAAACCTCAACGAGGAGTTCTTCGCCTTCGTGAAGGACAAAGTGGTCCAGCACAGAGAGTCCTTCGACCCCGACGTGACCCGGGACATGAGCGACGCCTTCATCAACGTGATCGAGCACGGGCAGGACAGCACACTGGACAACGAGTACGTCGAGGCGACGGTCACGGATCTGATCGGGGCAGGTCAAGACACGATATCCACCACCCTGCAGTGGATTCTGCTGCTCTTGGCCAAACACCCGGACATCCAGGCCAAGCTGCACGAGCTCATAGACAAAGCGGTGGGCCGTGACCGACTGCCGTCAAGCGAGGACAGAAGCCGCCTGTCCTACCTGGACGCCTTCATCTACGAGACCATGCGCTTCACCAGCTTCGTCCCCCTCACCATCCCCCACGCCACCACCTCGGGCGTCACCATCGACGGTCTCCACATCCCCAAGGACACGGTGGTCTTCGTCAACCAGTGGTCCGTCAACCACGACCCCCTGAAGTGGAAGGACCCTCACACTTTTGACCCTGCGCGATTCCTCGACGAAAACGGGGCTCTCAACAAGGACGCGACCAGCGGCGTGATGATCTTTTCGACGGGTAAACGGCGCTGCATCGGCAACCAGATCGCCATGGTGGAGGTGTTTTTATTCGCAGCCGTCCTGCTCCACCAGTGCAGCTTCGAGAGCGACCCCTCGGAGCCCCTCACTCTCAACTGCTCGTACGGACTCACGCTGAAGCCCCTGCAGCTCTCGGTCCGCGCCAAGCTCCGGGGAAAGCTGCTCGGCTTGGTTTCCCCGGCGTGAACGGCGCGCCTTGCAAACACTTTTCCATTAGTGACGTTTTACAGTGAGTACCGTGATGCCTGCACTAAATCCTACTGTCATATCATTTTCCTGTTTAATGGCAACGCTTAAACGGTCTGTATTTGAATTATGGTTGGTGAAGGGCTGAGGAGATGATGTCAGAGATGTAATATTCGCTACAGGTTGAATTAAAGTCTGTGGAATAAGTTCTTAGGTGTTCAGTTTCTGCTTCACAAATGATTCCGTACTTGATCAGATTTTGTACATAATTCTGAGTTGTGTGCTTCTATTAAATCCACCATGGCTCATGTACATGTATGATGTGTTCGCAGGAGAAAGCTACATTCCTTAAGTGTTCATTTCAAACTAATATAACTGTATATGAAATCATTGTGAATGTTATAAAGTCACTTGAATACTTCTTGCTCTACTATGGAATATGTAAGAATATATTTAACCCTTGCCACTTAAAGCAGCAACAAAAATATTTTTATATCTTCCTATTTCAGGGGTTGAATATCAATGTAATGGAGTTTAATGTATTTCACTATCTACTGTACTCAAATCATATGAACACATCAGTCAGAGAATGCGGACAACCGTGGAGGGAATGTGCTGTCGTGTTTGTGGAGGAGGAAGTCTTTCATCGATATCCATCGCTGCCTTCAGGATGAAGAAGAGACATTTCCGTGAACCGTGAACGCTTTCACGTAGTTTATGCAACCGGGGATCAGATTTACTGTATAAGCACTGCAGCTCCCCCGGTCCAAACACAGAAGTCTCACCAGCACAACAAAACCACATGTGCAGCAAATTCCGTTCACTTATGAGGCATTCTCAACAAAAAAAAGAGGTTGTTTATAGTCTCTTTTTTTCAAAGCTACACGGATGTCTCTGCACTCTCCTCAAGCCTCTGCATTCAGGAAGAGACGTGTTTTTTTGCCTTCAATGTTCAAGCATTTTATGTTATCAATATGTTGCTTTGTATGATGGAAAGGTGGAACAATAAGCTATATAATAAATGTAAGAAATGAATTGTCAATGTGTCTGTTTACTTGTCACAAAATCTCACAATATTGCTTTAAACTGGCTCAGAAAGGTGTTTAAAACTAGAATCACATTAGCAGCTAAACTGGATTCTGAATGTACCGCTAACAGCTACATTACCGCAGTGACTTATTCCAACAATAAGGTCGTACACAACATTTTAAATGAGCACAATTGTGGTGTTTGTATCTGTTCAGGATTTAGATTTGAAGCGCTCCAGCTTTCCTGGTCGTTTTTCTTAATGTGTGGTTAGAATTAACAGCTTGGCTGAAAGTAACAGAAAGCGAATCACGATTGAAATGGCCACGGAAAGTCCAGAGGAAAGTGTAAACAGCAAAGTCCTACAAGCCGAGCCGGAAAAACAATCAACTCCAGCTTATTGTCCATTACTTAAACATTTCACTACCAGCTCCCTTCATCAATCAATTCCATCGCTAAAGTGCTTCTTCAACAAGAACAATCGCATGTATTCGATATCGTGACAAATATCTCTCAGGCCACACACGAGTAAAGTGTCACAGTGGTCTCTATTGATTTCTTTGACAATACAACTAACCCTATAGATTAAGTCTATTAATTAGCTGCTCTACTTTCCTGCGATTCAACAAGGGCAGCAGGAGGCCTGAGCGGGAATAGGAAGGTCTGCAGTCTGTGGTCAAAGTGGGAGGGGAGAGATAACAAAAAAACCTGAGTCGCTGACTCCTCCCACCGTGGAGATATATATAAGAAAGTGTCAAAGCCTGAACCTGATCGAGCCCTCCTCGCTGGCTTCTGTGGCAGATGGGTGAGGAAGCACGCGAGTGCGGCTTGGGAGTCATTTCATCTCTTTTTACACATCAGCCTAAAATCTTGGTGGAGGCAATTCTAACCATCTGTATTTTCACGTGTGTGAGACTGCATCAGACGGGAAAAAAAAGAGTACGTTCGATTTGACGCAGTGAATGAAGAGTGGACGACAAGCCTGCGGGATAAGAGAATGTCTACAGACACGGAGTTCGGCGTGAAGGGCAGCAGCATCATCAGGGAATGGAGCGGACAGGTCCAGCCCGCTCTGGTGGCCTCCTTCGTTTTCCTCGTCTGCCTGGAAGCCTGCCTGTGGGTCAGAAACCTCCGGCTCAAGAGGAGACTGCCGGGACCCTTCGCCTGGCCGGTGGTGGGCAACGCCATGCAGCTGGGCCAGATGCCCCACATCACCTTCGCCGCGCTCGCCAAGAAATACGGCAACGTGTACCAGATCCGGCTGGGCTGCAGCGACGTTGTGGTTCTGAACGGAGGCCGGGCGATACGGGAGGCTCTCCTTCGGCGCGGCGCGGAGTTTGCGGGCAGACCGAACTTTGTCTCCTTTCAGGCCGTCTCGGGGGGGAAGAGCATGACGTTCAACAGCTACAGCAAACAGTGGAAGATACACAGGAAAATTGCCCAATCAACAATCAGAGCGTTCTCGTCTGCCAACAGCCAGACCAAAAAAGCCTTTGAGCACCAAATAGCTGCTGAAGCCACAGAGCTAGTTGAGATTTTCCTTAAACTCAGTGCTCACGGCCAGTATTTTAACCCGGCTCACGAGCTGACAGTTGCTGCGGCCAATGTGATTTGCGCCCTGTGCTTTGGAAAGCGTTATGGCCACGAGGATGTGGAGTTCAGAGCCTTGCTGGAGAAGGTTGACAAGTTTGGAGAGACGGTAGGGGCTGGCAGCTTGGTAGATGTGATGCCCTGGCTCCAGACTTTCCCCAATCCAGTCCGCAGCATGTTCAAGAACTTCAAGGACCTGAACAAAGAGTTCTTTGGCTTCGTCCAGAACAAGGTGGAAGAGCACAGAGAGACGTTTGACCCAGAGGTAACGAGGGATATGAGCGATGCCATCATTGGCGTGATCGACAAGGCCGGCGGTGACAACGGGCTCACCAAAGGCCACGCGGAGGGGACGGTGTCCGATCTGATCGGCGCGGGTCTGGACACCGTCTCCACCGCGCTCCACTGGATCATTCTTCTGCTGGCTAAACACCCCGAGAAGCAAAGCAAACTCCACGAGCTCCTCGACAAAGTGGTGGGGCCAAGCCGCCTGCCGTCTGTGGAGGACAGAAGCCGCCTGTCCTACCTGGACGCCTTCATCTACGAGACCATGCGCTTCACCAGCTTCGTCCCCGTCACCATCCCCCACTCCACCACCTCCGACGTCACCGTCGAGGGTCTGCACATCCCCAAAGACACGGTGGTCTTCATCAACCAGTGGTCCGTCAACCACGACCCCCTGAAGTGGAAGGACCCACACGTCTTTGAACCCGCGCGCTTCCTGGACGAAGAGGGCTCCCTGGATAAGGATCTGACCAACAGCGTCATGATTTTCTCAGCGGGGAAGCGAAAATGTATCGGGACCCAGATTGCCAAAGTCGAGATATTTATTTTCTTTGCGATCCTTCTCCACCAGTGCCGATTTGAGAAATGTGCCGGCGAGGACCTGTCTTTAAACTGCTCCTATGGTTTAACACTGAAGCCTTTACATTACAGGATTACAGCCAAACTCAGGGGACAATTACTGAAAGGGGATTAGAACCCGTTAGAAACCTGGCTTTCCAACTGAAAAAAACAGCGATACAATAAAAGGTATGTGCTCGTAAATAAGTATATATATAGTAAATATATACATGCCTTATATCACAGAGGACTTTTATGTAATAAGCTTGAATTCATCTAAAACATAAAGATGAGTGACAATACATTTCACTTTTTTAAATGTATGTATAACGCGTAAAAAGTCAGCACCTTGTAAATAGTATTGGAGAGGATGTGACTCATAGCTGGACCCAACAGCAACTCTACTTCTGACTCAATTCTGAAATACTGCGATTTACTGAAACCCCAAAAATATCTGAAACGACTCAGCACATCATGTTAGCAGCAGAAACAATTGTAACAAGGCTTTTAAAGTGTTTTCCCTAAACCACAATTCATTCTAAGGCTAAAGAATGTATTGTTATTCATAAGAGGGCATTTAGTGGAGTCGCCCTAATTTGCAATATAAACTGGTGGGATGAATAAGTTTCACTTGAAGCCTTTTTTCTCTGCCTGGTGTGTGGTCTCAATGTTGTTATTCAGCTATTCACCCAGAAATCTTATGTATTGACTTTTTTCATATTTGAAATCCATACAAACACAGCATGCAAGTAATCTACATTTATCAAATCTTAAGTCATGCATAATACTGTTGTATGCTGAAAGTAACTCACGTCGCTTATAACAAATTGTACGTTAAAAAGCCTCTAATCTAAATGTTAGTTATGCTGTCTCCTTCCTTTATTGCATAATACATCACTGTTCCACATGATTCATTTGACATAAAGCATTGTGTGCTGTGCGGAACGGCTTCATGGGGTTTCGCAATGAACCCGGTGTGATAAAATTTGTACTCTTCAATCCACAATAAAGATTTTGCATTGATGTCATCATTCGCTGGTCAGATCTGTGGGAGCAGCGTCGGCACTGCAGAGAGGTCAGGGAGATAATAATAGACGCCGATGTCTTGCCTCGGTGTTGTTGTGACAGATGAATATGGGTTACAGGCCCCTGCATGCGCTTGTTCTCCGGCCCTTACAAGCAGGCAGCAACAGTATGAAGCCACAAGCTTCACTCGTCAATATTTAACAGAGAGCGCGCTGTCCTTTTGACTGCCGACCTTTTCTGCCCCGAACGAACACATTCATTTTATGCCGGTAGTGTAACTCCCATTTATCAATTAAATGAGTTTAACTTTGGAGCTTTAAAAAGTGGAAAAATAATAAAAAATAGAGATATACATCAATTATGGAGCAGGCCAAATAAATATACACTTTGAGAGCTAAATTAACTTGATAAACAGTGTGGGCGTCACGTCAGGGCGTTTGCCAGGAAGCAATATTCTTTTACTTTATGAAAGTATTATCAGAATTTTTATTTTTTTTACCGTTTCCTCATTTGAATGTAAGGCTAACAAGGATTGTTTTCACATTGTTTCATTTGTACTTAAGTACCTTTTCCACCGAAACAATTTGTCCCGCACAGATTTGTCACATGACAAAGGCGATGATGACATGACGTTCGGCATTCGACCTGAGATGACCCGCCTTTGCCGGGCCGTGGTGATTATCACGCCTTCCATATATCACCATCAGTATCACGCGGGATTTACAATGATCCCTTCATACGATATCTATCTACGCCGAACACGCAGCGGACAACTCCCCAAAAAGTCCGCTGCGCTTTCTGTATTCTGGGAAAACCACCTAATGCTCAACATTTATTTTTGCAATAAGTATGGTACATAAATATTGGTTTAGGAGGGGGCTCAGGGGGGGGGGGTCTGACTCGTCCCCCTCGCTTCCTTTCATATGGCCTCCAAGCCACATGGGAGCGTTTGCTCCGTGCCCGGTTCTGGTCCACCTGCGTATTTGCAGAAGCCGCTGTGGCTGAACTCTGAGGGAGGCTTGTTTTCACTGCGGTTAATACGGAGCAGGCTGAAGACATTCTGTACTGCAACTCTCCCTCTCCCCCTCTCTCCCCCTCTCTCCCCCCCTTTGCTTGCTCTGACACAGCGAGGACCCTGGAGGGGAGGAATGGGCCGCTTGAACTCCCCCCGTTTCCATCACCGCTTCCCAAAACATCCTTGAAACGTGTCCAGTTGAAAGACTCCTTTTCACCCCGAGTCACCCGCTCTCTCCCTCTCTCCCTCTCTCTCGGCTCCGCACGCCCCCGCGCTTTCACTCCTTAAAGGAAAACAGAGGAGCGTTACAGGCCGGGCTTACTCGCTTTCTGCACGTACGCAGAACCACAGCGTGACCTCCCACCAGGTTCTCTGCGCCGCCGGCCGCCAGACTCTGGCTCTGCACGGAGAGAGAGGGACGATTACCGGGAAGACAGCGGAGACGACGGGACGCCGCGTCTGGTCCTCGTCCCTCCTTTGTCCTCCACACCGATGCAGCCCCGTTAGAAAAGGGACATTTTTATGATTGTGATTGTGCGCACTCTCCGTTCTGACCCACAGCATCGTTAATCATTCTGTTTCAGCAGAAAAAGAGGCATTTTTCTTTGAAAGAACATGACCAACAGCCTTCCTATGGAAAAAAAAGAGAGGTCAATGCTTATTAACTATGAATCAACTTTTTCCCAGAGAACACATTGAACAAAGGTGACATTTGCGAACGGGCGAGTAAGCGTCTCTCTTCTGTCTACTCACAGCGGCGTATTTATGCAGCAGGATTTTCCTAAGATTCTTTGCCCCGCTTTCTAGAAACGCTGCAATAATTCAACCTCAAAAAGGGTTTTAAAAAGTCATCCCGTCATCAGAGAACTCTGTTGTGCCCCAAACAAAATGGAAATAGCCGTCGCTCGCGCGCTCTTTCAGTTTGATATATTCCACAGTAGATGTGTGAATTTCCTGCCTCAACAAAAACCCCTGTTGGATTTAAACACCGAGCAGGGGCGCAAACTAATGTTCCAGTTGACCTTATGATCAACTCCTGTCACCTTGAACGTTTGGTTGTAAACTAGTTTTGGCACACTTACCGACATGGTGTGCGACAGTTGGTGACCCGCAACTGCAATAAATGGTGAAGTGATCCTTTTCAATACACAATCACCCAGCTCATTATTACAGGGCGGGACGGTTACGATGTTCCGTGGTGTTTTGGAGACGGTCACTCACATTAACTGCCTTTAAGTGGCCCCCGTTTGGTCGGCATGGAAACCCGAGCACAGCTGTCACGCCCGCGTGGATTCATGTCACGTGGCAACGCCGGGCGAGAAAAGCAGTCAACTTTACGCCCGTCACCTACAAATAGCTGGCGACCTCTTCAATCAGCCGGATTGAGTGTTTGGAAAGCCCTCGCAGGTCCGGGACCCCCCTCCCCCCCCTCCTTCGGGAGGCCGTCAATCGCGCCCAGCGTCAGAGATAACGGCGTGCGCTCAGACAATAACAAACCTCTGGCACCGCTCTTGTGTAAGATTCCTTGAGAGGCACGTTCGAGTATCTCCGAGAAGCTTTGTCTTGGAAGGGGAAGGAAATCAATCAGATTTTCTGCTCTCGTGTATTATTATTTTTTTTTTAAGTAACATGAGAACGTTGGAAACACCGAGTGACCCCGTGAACGAGCGCGTGAGAAGACGTGCAGATCCGTGCGACTTCTAACTTAAGTAACGATTATTGCTTTTTGGGTTTTTTGTTTTGTTTTTTTTAGAACAAAAAAGGATTAATAGGAAAATAATCTTGGAAAAGTTGAACCGAAACCTCAAACTCTCTCCCCCATAGTGCTCACGCAAGCATAAAAGCGGGGGAATAAAAATGTTTGCGTGCTGATGACGAGCAATAAGGCCTGATTCACAGTCACCAGTTCAACCCCGTGCTTTTGGATCGAGGTCGCAAAATGAAACTTTGTCTCTCACAGAAAAGTCGAGACAATGGGAAAATACCATAAGTATTGTTTGTGGTCTGGGGTCTTCTTCGTGCAGCAGGTGTTCATTAGGTGAATTAAAATCCCATTTGCCGTAGCAAAAAGACACTTCCACGTCGTGTTTTCAGTACATTCAAGTTAATTTGAACATTTTTGTCTCATTCACTTGCACTCTTCATCCACTCGCGTCTTCACTGCAACGGCCAAGACGACGAGATCTTCTGAGCCGTGGTTCACGAACCGACGGCTCCCGTCACAGGAGCCACGTACGCTTCTGTCACACGGTCGGTGGTTGGAAGCCGCACTTCGATAAGATTTATATTCCAAACACGCAAATTGTAGCCAACGAGCAAAAGTACACAGGAAGTTTATAAGTGGGTGTCTGTGAACTTTTGGCCAGTCGATCATCATGGAGGATGAGGAGAGAGTATTTCTTCAAATTCAAATTGCTTGCTGCTTTATTCGGACACGAAATACCTCGTAACCGTCTCCCGCTACACGCCACCCATAACCCCTCACTCCCATGCGGCAGAACTGTGGTCCTCCCGCCCATCGCTTTCACGCCATCCCACTGCGAGCCCTCTCCTTGGCAGCGCTGTACGCCAGACCAAAACAATTTAGCAACAAGCTATTTGCGTTCGGAGGGATTCGTTTTCAGTTGTGTTCGCGTTCTCCTTCTGTAGTGGGATCTGATGGGCTGTCAGCGCCCCCCCCCGCCGCCGCCGCAACCCCCCCCCCACACACAGAGGAGGAGGGTTCGCTGAGTCCAACGCTAAAAAAATACTTTGCCGGGATGCTCGCAGCACGTTGGGGTTGTTGTTCGTGTTGAGGATGCAGCGGCCGCTGTTAGCGAGTTCAATCCCGTTCACGTGCGCACACACACACACACACACACACACACACACACACAAGTATGTGCAGTATTCTCCTCATCTGCTGAGCCGTCGGCCGAGCGAGTCAAATGAGGGCTGATCAGTTAAACCAATTTAAAAAGTCAATTACAACTAGAGACCAACTCTCGGTGCGATGAGGCCGTGAGGACGAACCAAAACTCCTCCGACTCACGTGTGCAAGCATGCTGACTCACTTAAGACACACTTTTTTATGCACTTTATCTATAGATATGCTTTTTTTAAACATCCAACTGCATAAAATACTTTTAAAAAAGATGCACAATACAGTTTCTTGCAAATACCAAAAACTCACCGTGGACGTTTTGAATGTTTAAATGGGATAGTTGCCCAAAGTCATGATGCACAGCAGCGTCTGCTGAATTCAGATGTTAAGTGTGTGTGTGTTGGGGCGACTCTACTGGTCTCATCACACTTGCCATCAACTGGCTGTGGTGCGGGAGGGGGTCCCTGGAACACGGCTTTAACTGGATCATAAAGAACAACAGAGCGGGGATGGCGGGCGCTTATGGGCGCGCTGGTGCTAACACGGGCTCTCCGGAGAGGAGGAGGCCGATCGCGTTGAGATGGAACTCAAAAGTCGTGGCGATATATTTCTGCTCACTGGTCCAGCCGCCACTTGAAAGCACTGAGAGGAGTTCACCGGAGTGCAAAGCGAGCGTCCCATCTTGGGCGGGTGACCTCATGGCGTTATGTAAGGCAGCGGGGGGGGGGCCGTGCCAGGCCTGCAGACGGCGTGCAGGGGAGACGTTCAGGTGCACGCAGGCGAGCACGCAGCTCTCCTCTTTTCCTGCCATATACTTTTTTTCAGCTCGCTCAACTTGTTTACCCCAATAACAACCCCAGGCCGAGGCCTTTCAAGGAGTGGGGTCGTAAAATATTTTTTGAAATAATTGTAGGTTTCGCGTTTATAATAAAACAAAAACCATAAATGTGAAATATTTAAATAACAGAACTCTCACGCATCAGTGCAGCGGCTCATGGTGATCACGCAACTCGGTTTCCCGAGGCGGAAAAAGAGTTAACACATGTGCGGGAGCGCCACCTCTGTCTGAACCGCTGGGACCTGCTTTCAAACACACACACATTGGTGTGTACTGGAACACTGTGGAG